ATTATAAAAATAATAAGAATTATGTGTAGTAGTTAAAAACTTTTTTTAATACTAGAAATATTTTGGTAATAACTTTTCATTATTAACTTGATTTGGGTTGACCGTTTATTAATTTTTTATAGAATTATTAAATTGGTTGTTATTCACTGATCTATTCTTCGGCGCGAAATGGTCAATAACGATTCATTGTTTGATAAAAATCTTGAACAAAAAGGCAATTACCTATAATGAATAATTCATAAAATTTACTAATTGCAATCAACTTCTTAATATAAATTAAATTTGCGTATAATGTATCACTCAAAATAATTAAGATTTTTAAACATACCGTTCCTCATTCCATTCTCGTTTTATACCTAATAGATTTTCACCGACTTAAAAGTTTACTATACAATGAAGAATCTATCGAAGGACGCGCTTCTTTTACAAACAAGTTTCAGTTATTTTTCGGATCCCCTAATGCCGGTTTATATTTGCAGAAATCGATGAGCTTTTCCGCTGCACTATGACTGACATTCCCTCTCGAACTCCAACTTAAATTCTTCGCTCGGAATCAATAAAACAAGAGCGAAATATTTCAATGCTAAAATTTAGGAATACCTTGCATTTATATGCGTTAACTTCATACATAGTACTTACCAAATTTATTCTTTGCGAACGTTCAATTTATACTTACTATCGCGAACCCAGTCGATTATTAATTTCGTTTGAACGAATTCTACCGCTTTATTTATCTTTTTTAATTTTTTTAACCGAAGACATACATATCTCGAACCGGTCCCCGTTTGGACTTCTTCGGATTTCCTCGGCAACGACTGAAGAATTTTAAATGCTAACGCGACTCGCCGCCGGATTAAACATATTACATATGTTTCTATACCCGTACCTAATACATTCGATTATTGATATACCATTTTGCAACTTTCTTGCGAGAGAATACGCGCAATTGCGGGCTCCAGAAGTGCGTATCAATGAAATTCTGCGGATGATTCTGCAAACATCTGCAGATTCTAACGGTAACTGCAGGTAACTCTAATACATGTTTGGTAAGTTACTTGTATTCAGCACATGTAGGTTGTACAAATGCGAATCTGATGATATTAATTAAAAATTAAGTGCTGTGTTGAAAATCGCCACTTTTTGTATATAACGAGTATTGGGAGTTTTCGACCAGATTTAGTATGTTCCCATACTAAGTATTGGCATTATGAGTGCAATTATATCCACCGTTTCCGTGTTCTTTTGTGTGCGAAACATTCGAAAACAGTTAATTCTATGCAGTTTTTTGTCCAATTTCGTTCAGAAACAGTTTAACGGCTGACAAGTTAATACCATACGATATTTTAAAGGATACCGATGAAGCTTCTCGACCGGCCATCGGCGATTTCAAGGTTAATACTTTATGCGGTAGTTTCCCTATACACGCAATACATTTATCTGTTAATTCGCTAAGATCTGCTAGTTTTTTGTAAAGAATTAGTGCATCAAATGCGCAGGTACTCGAGGGAATAATTGCCGCGGTAATAACACCAATTTTTGCCGGGATGAGTGCAGTTCCGGGGGAGTGGTTTGTTTATAATTAAGGTTATAAATTAATTCGATCGGGCGGAGTCTTCTCATTTAATGTTATGTAAAAACGGTCTAATGATCGCAAGTCGACGTTTTGCGACTCATTTTTTCCTGCGGAGACCTAGAGGAAAATGGCGAGTAAATCGTTAATAACATGTTTACAAATCGCATCGTTAAACGTTAACATAGAACATATCATTACCCTCCGCTTTTACGCGTTTTAAACGCTCGATGGTTAACGAACTTCTAGAATCGCTGGGGAATTTTTATTAATTTCGAATCGATTCGACCTTTTACCGCAATAATTGTAATAATAACAGGAGTGCGGGTTTCATTATATTATTTTAATCGAAGTAACTACTGATCGGATTTCGACGTAAATATTTATATACGAGGTAATTATTTCGTGGTTCTGATAACAAAAGTGTCTCGGATATTTTCACTCTAAACTAATTTATCTACCTAATTAAACAAATTGGTTCGTAATTTTCACACCCGAGCGCAGCATTAAAAAATAACTGCTGATTTAATTATGCATGATATAATTTTCTAGAAAATGCAAATCGCGTTTGAATTAAAAAAATCTGTCTTTAGTAATTAAAATATGTATTGATAAATGTAATTTGCGTGATAATTGCTATCGATTAAAAAACCCTCGCATATTGATGTCTGCGACTGCCCCAATTATGGGGGATATTAAAAATAAATAGGAGCTGCTCCCGCTGCGAAAATCGCCGTAATAATAGGGAAATGGAAGGTGACACTTTCGCAAATAAACATATTAAATGACGCCAGGAAATTTATAAATATTTTCTTGTTTGAATATACGTTGAATTTGACAATTTATCGTTGAAATGTTCTCGTACTTGTTCAATTACCAGCGAGTATCAGCAATATTAAGATTTCTTAAGACATCAGGACTTTTTACAACTTTCCAAAACGACTGCACGATTAAATTATTAATTTCAGATGAGTTGAACCGTTTATAAAATAAAAAATTTGACAGCTAGAAGAGTAATACATTTTTATCTAAATTGTACCTATATAGGTACTTATAACTTATGTCTCGATCATTAGAAATTCTGACAGCGCGAAGCACGTGTGAGAACTAGCAATTTATGGGATCGAACGAGACCTTTCACCGCAAATTGAGCCAACAGATCTAAACAACCCGACGACGAAATAAATTCCATAATCGACACAATGTATTCACAGCGAGATTTACAATTGGTTATTTGTGCAACTGGAAAAATAAACCGAGATTTAGAGGTTTTTAACTGAGTGATTTATTTAGAGAAAATCGATTATTTACCTCTAAGAAAGCATAAACGCATTTAATTTAAAGCTGTAATAGATAGGCACTCGTTTATCTTATAATACTAAAAAGTGAACGAGAGATTTGTTATCATCTTAAATAAACTATTCTAGTATTGTCAATAATGCATATGATTAGATTATTTATTTTTAAGTGATTTTTTTATATGTTATAAACGATGTTAATGCTATATGTTTGAAGAATATATTTCCAGGTTACATAAAAATCATGGATAATAACATAGCCACAAAACAATGTCTTTTCTCACAGCCTGAATAAGTTATACTTCTTTGTATTGCCCGTTTACACAGTCTAGTACAGCAACCCATCGACTAGCTCATTAAATACTCACGCCGTGAATACAGGATGTCCATTTTGGAAAACAATTTTTCGAAAACTCACTCGACAAATCAAAATTTTCGGAACGTATAAACCCCGGAATTGCCAACTTGACGCGGGCGCATTAAAAATTCGGCAGAGCACATCAAATTAAATCGTTTCGCCTTCCTTCCTAAACGAATAAACGTTCTAAAACATGCGAATGAAACAATAATTCGATTTGAATAAAATCACAATAATCGCCAGACGGCAGTGCACCATGCAACATTAGTATGTTTACTCAACATTTTATCTTTTAACGTGCATACTAATTTCGAACGAAGGTGAAGGTTCTACAAAATAACGCGGGACTATTTTTATGCACGCAGTACATAAACAAAGTTTTATCAATGAAAAAAGGGAAAGTGATTGCATAACGTGTATGGCAATTGAAATAGATTGTTTGTTACGATGCATCAATGAATGCAACGATTAACTTTCCATTAATACTTATTTATACTTTGTGTCTAATGGAAAAGTTTGGCTCCCCTCCTTTATTGAGTATTTTTTTAAAGTGAGATGTGAGTGAAATTTAATTTAGCATTGTTTGCAGTATAATTTTAATTTAAGTATCCCATCATCAGAGACGATCATAAGACAAATATGTTGATACATTTTTTGATTCAAATATAACAAGAATTCGTGACGGAAACTGGCACTCTGCCAGGCTGCATGTATAAACCATCAAAAAATAAAAAAAATATAAAACTTGGGTATATTCGTAACAATTAATACGTAACAGAAACTGTCTTCTTAATTGGCTACTTATAATCTCAAAAAAATGATATACAAACATTGATTTTAATAAAATTCTCATATATTTTTAATGTAATTTAATTTAAATGACACTTCTTTTGAAAACCCGCATTTAATATTTAAAAAATACGTACATATTCAAGGCATAAAATATGGGGATGAGGGAAGAAAATTATAATTAGGTACATTAGGACATCACACCGGCGTGTTTGGAATTACCTTGTTAAATAATTCAAATTCGCATGAATTATAAAAACGTTCGATCGTCCGAAGGAACAGTTGGAAACGCAAATTTTAATAATTTCTTTCGCCTTTGGGTCGCGAATTTGGTTAATTTTGATTGCAAAAAAGCTCGTGTTTCCTTTATACTTGTCATATACATATTTAGAAAGGTTATCAATTTAATTTTCCGATTATACAAAACGAATTTAACTTATCTTGTACACAAATGATTTTTTAATTACTAAATTGTTAATTATGGAGATTGTATTACTTATTAAACTACTAAAAGCATAAAATTACATTGTGGGCTGTTTAAATGTGACTCTGTTTAAATTTTTATTGATATCTACATCTGAGTTTATCGTAAACTTTTAAATAAAAAAAATTAATTTAATGAATTCATCTGCAGATTACGGTATAAAATTTTGCTTCAATAAAATAATGAAGGTACGTAATAGCTATTTAATGGTATAGTAAAGGATCTAATTTTGATAAATTTGCGGAAGCTATAATAATGTATAAATGTTATTGTTTTATTAAAGGCTGTATTTTTATAAGCACAATAATTGACAAAAATTTTGAGAAAAATAATGTGCAAAATTTAATTCTACATTATTTGATAGAAAAATATATATCGGGGGTTTTAATTTATAATGAAGCTATAATCACTCCCCTATATTTTTTTAATAGTATGCACCCTTATTTTGCAAAAAATAGTGTTAATTTTATTAATAAAAAACGTAAAAAAGAAAAGAATTACCTTTACAATCTGGCGGGTAGGAAGAATGGCAATCGACAATAGAGCTAAAATTAGTGCTGGTGGTGGATGGAATCTCCGACGGAGGCGTCAGCCGGATCAGCTTGGAGGGCGGCTCGCCCATCTGCGAGGCCCCCGAAAAATCGCAGTCCAGTCGCCTCTTGAGCGGCGGCGGCGGGCTCTGGTGGCCCATCGGTATGGGCGTCACTTTCATAACTTTCGCGGAAAGTTGATCGGAGCACTGCGACGACCCGGAGGAATCGCAGTCGAAGCGTCGCCTCAGCGACGTCACCAACGGCGGGCTCTGCTGGCCCGCCGGCACGATGCCTATCTCTTCGGGATTCACGTTCCCGTTCCGCAGCATGACTTCGTCCTGGGCCTGGGCCCGCCGCAGCGCCGTCTGCATGGCCATCACGCGCTGCCTTTCGGACGTCAGCCGGCATTTCTCGCACTTGCAGGAGCGATACATGCAATACCGTTTGTGGCCCTTCAGGGCGATCTTTTTGCTGTGGTTCCTGCAACGGGCGCACTTCGGCGGCGTCCTCGGAGACGCCGACGTGCTGGACGCGTTCACGTCCAGCTTGTTCTCGTACTCCTGCGAATCGGACATGGTCTAATCCTCTACTGATTTTTTTTCCACCCAATCTAGTCCATGCTAAATCGAAACAACCGGTGTGTGTGTGTGTGGGTCCAGAGAGAGAATTAATTAGAATCGGGAGTCACTGCACTCGCTCTCGAGACTGGCCGTGAATTCGATGCAAAAGCAACAGGTCCGATAAGACAGCACGCGGAAAATGTTGAGCATGTGTCGGGCGAGTAGTCGCGAAATCAACTGTCAGTCAGTCGTGCAACGGGCGAGTGAAGTAAGTTGCATTGGCAGTGCAGTGGGGCCGGGGGAGCAGTCATTTACGACTTTAAGCGGTGGGGTAAATGCATGTGCAGGACTGCAGTTTAGAAGCGTGTTTTATGCGGTAATAACGCGGGGAAGTGAGTTTTGATGGCAGGTATTCAAAAGTAGTTTTGTTGCAATTCGACGAATACCAGTGGGGTTATATCGGCCGTTTATGATATTATGCTGTGTTCTATTTGTTATATTCCTCGGCATTGTTGTTTATGGATCGTAATACGTCTGTGTTGCTGGTATTAACTAAATTTTCCTGGTCTTGTTTAGATATTAAATTTTACCAAATTAATATCTTTGTTCGGTCTAAGTACCTTTCTAGGTGCGTTGTTTGTTTCTTTATTGCTACTATTAATAAACACTTACTTTTATATATGTCTTGTTTCTATCACCCGAATTAATTACAACTTTTAATTAAATCTACACAAGTTAACTACAATTTTACAAGCCTTAGAATTTTTCAAAAATAATTAAAAATACTAATAATGAAGCAGAACCTAAGTAATAATATAGTGTGCTAATTAAATATAGACATATTGGCTACACTTAAATATTAAATTAAACTAAAAATCAATAAAAAATATCCCTTAATTGTGTGATTGAACGAATTATCGATGAATGCAATTTTTTACCTAATCGTTTTAACAGTACTGATTATGAACATTAAAGTGGATTTAATTACGTTTTACACAATTAATTTACAACAATTATGCAATTATGTGTATGATGTATAATTTTTATTTAAAAAATCTCTATTAACGTTGGCGCTTCGATATTAATCCCTATTAATCAAATAATCCCTATTAATCAAATAAAATAAACGACAATTATCATTCCTTATTTAACACTTAATTTAAACGATTACAAGTTTGTTAATTAGCAAGCGAAGAGGAGATATATACAGTAAGTAGCAATAAAATACGGGATCAAAACGGAAAAACAAGAATACACGTGACTTGTACGAGTCGTACACGAAAAAAATAAATAATTTTTGCTTAATTCAGAACTTTATGAGGACAGACAGATGTGAACTAATTATTTTAGCGTGGACACCGACTGCGAAAATCCTAAACGGGCGTTGTAAATCTTGTCAAGTTTATAGTTCGCCCATAAAACTGCAGCATTTTTTATCCGAAATCGATAACCTAGCCAGCGGGGCTGTATAATTTGAAAGTTTGAAGATAGCGCGACGCCTTTCATATGCAAAAGCTTTTATCGCCCGGCGAGTTGAGAAAACAACCTTATTTAATGGGAGTTTTTCGTTACTTACCGATCCGAATTATTGTTGTTAAAAATTCGCCTATGTCAAAATAACGGTGTACTACTAAGACGTACCTTAATTTTTAAGCATGCAGAATTTGTGGAACTTGTAACTAAGTTTTCAAATAACAAATAACAAAGCTACTTAGTAATTTAATAATTTGAACAGTACCTATTATTTTTTTTATTTTTTATATGGTCATCTACAATATAGGTACCTAATTATTAAATTAAATTAACATAATTCCTAACCATAAATTCGTTACTGTTGTTGCTTAATTGCGATGGAAAGTAAAAGTCTCATTGTGATAACTACATCAATGAAAAAACTAATTATTTTAAGAGATATTGTTTGCAAATTTTAAATTAAATTTAAACCTGGTGGCGTCCTCTATGGATAAATAACTGAATTATCTTACTTTGAATTACAAGATTCTATAAATTTATTCGCAATATATTACAGGATTCCGTAAATCCAAGCCCTTTAATTCGTGTACTCTGTGTTAGATGGCGTTTTACAAAAAAAACTTTGGAGAAACTTTTCAACAGAAAAAGCTTTTTATTTTTCTATTTTATTAAGGAAAAGCCTTAATATTTTTTTAGACTTGGCTATCATTTTAAATAAAATCTATAACGATGACTTTTTGATATTAAATGCATTATTATAAGCATTTCAATTTGCAATATAAGCTATGGGTGCAACAAAGACAACTTCCTTTAGTCACCTATAAAGGAAAAAGAAAGGAAGATTATATCATTGCAAACTTACTCAGTCTAACAATTGTTATTTTAATAATGTTTCTTTGTTCAATTCATATAGAATTGCCAAAACTCATAGACCATATTGCAATTTTTTATGCACTTGTAAAATTCATCGGACGGAAAATTGATCTGTATAAATTTACTCAGACGGTAAACTGATATGTATAAAACTAGTCGGACGGTAAACTAATCTACAGACTACAGATTGATGAATTTCAGTTTGCAATATAAGTTATGGGTGCAACAAAGGCAACTTCCATTAGACATTCCATAAAGCAACTTTCCCGCTGTAACTTTTACATTATAATTATCTTGCTTTGTTCAATTCATAGAATTGACCATATTGCAAACTTTTATGCACTTAGGTGTAATTTAATTACTGCTTAGATTGTATAAACTTCTGTGATGATAAATAGTTGTAGTAAGGTAGTAATAAGGTGTAGTAATAAGGTAGATAGAAATAAAAAGATGGTAAGATCCAAATAAATGTATATATTTATTATACTGCTCAATGAAAACACAGTCACAACATCTCAGCTTATCCCAGAGACATTTTTGCTTTGCCTGTGGGAGCCGAAACAATTGCTGTACACCAAATAGTAAAATTGTCTAATGTAACATGGAATACGGCACACGCTAAATAAACAAAAAGCAACGTAGGAAAAGTGCATTTTACCGCACACTATGAGTACTTTGTACGTATATAGTATAGTATACGTCGCCACGCGTCCATACAAACGCAATATACCAATCTTCCTTTCACCGATCTACCAACCATCTCTATATATTATATAAATTTTTATATACAAATTCATTTAAAAATTCCTAAAGCTTATTTTTTATTAAATGTATCAACCTAAAATTTCTACAATAATTTTGTCAATACCAAATTTTGATTTACACCAATATAAATATAAAAATACTCTTAAATTTTTACACATATAAACTTTTCGGTGTGGAAGAACGGTGACGAGGATTTTAATAATTTTGAGCTATCTCGCTTTTTTTGTACTAAATATACATTCTTATTCGATTCTATCGACGCATTTTCTTATTTTCTACGATATAGGAGCCTCGTGGCGTTAACACCAGTGACAATGACTTAATCCCGACAACTTTGCCACGACCTTTCTACGTTTAATAACTCGATAGTCGACACCCAATTTTCCACTTTTCCTTTTTATACTTATCGAAATGGGCACACCTATTGTCCGAAATTTTTATTTAGGCAATACCTCATAATCGATAGTAAAGTTCTCGATTAATTGAAGAATATTTCATTGCATCAAAGTTTATGAAAAAATTTGAACGAACAGGGTATCTTATGTTACTACATAATTTTGTAATAGAACAGTATGTTGAGATACCCTGTACAAAAATTAAATTAAAATAAAATCCGGCTGTGTTGTATCTGTATTTTTTTGAATTGGGAAAATGTGCAATGAAATTACTTCTCCGTGGAACAAGCCGAAAAATCGGGCGGGAAATTTCGAACAGTTCGAGTTATGTGTAAATTTTAATCGAAAAATATTTGTGAACCATTGCCAAATGAGTGGTAAATTCAATTTGAAATATCCATGCAACTGGTGCAGCTGCATTTCCGGAAATTTAGAAGCCAAAATTTTGACATAATTTAGTGGCTTTTCATACGCATGACGATTGTCACTTGAAAAACGTCGTTGTCGAGTTTACATGAGGAAGACCGAAAGAGTCATCTGGTGACAAAATTAAACTTAATAGATGGATAACATGTTACAACAAGGGCGATCTCTGGTTATATTGCACGCCTTCGGAAACTATTTGGTGAATAACTGCGAGAATTTTGAATTTTACAATCAGTTGAGTATGTGTGAATGCATTGTATTGTACAAAATGTGTGAGGTGTAAATATTTACAGTGTATCTATAGGTTACCTACTGTTAAACCCCTCAACAATAAGCTCGAGTATACAATTTAAAAATCCGACGTAATTTTATTTTCTTCAAATTTTTCCATCTCGTTTATCTTCCAATAGTAATTGGCCAAAATATTTTCAATATGAAAAGTAGCTCATTGTCGATTGGTTTAATTGGTTATAAATTGCTGCTGCAAAAACGGATAGTTTCCTCAATTGACTCAGAGGGAGCTCCTGTTGTAAATGCCTTAACAAATAACAATAACAGCTAAACGTAACCTGTGTTTATAACATGGGTAACTGAAACCATTGAATCTGTTATGTTTATTATCTACTTTCTAATCAAAGTTACTATATACCACAAATAGTATAGCCTGGGTGGACAAAAACACCCATGGCGGCCATCTTAGCGTAACAATATAATATTTAAGAAATAATCTTATGTTATGTAACCGAGTGTCTCTTGGTTGAACGAATCAGAACGACAGCAGGCAGTCGAGGACCTCGAAGGAGCTTTGGTTGGGCGTTGTGTCTATTTAGGGCCCTTAATTTGTAATTTTTTTTTTTTTCGTAAAAACAACTTTGAAGGCACTTTTTTGACGGACGAATTGGCCCAGTGAAATTTTGAATGAGTATGAATTATTACCGGTACACGAAAATTTCGACTAACTGCAGAAGTTTCGGTTGGTTGCCTTCATTGCTATTGCATCAGATTTAGTGTGACTTTTATTTAATGGCTATTTCAGATTTGAGAGCTCCTGCGAGGTCCTGCACCGCCACAACGCAACTATTTTGCTACTAACAAAACAAATTGTTATCGTTACATACTGTACAGTATCATTTGTCGGTTAAAATTTCAATCAAAATTATTAAATATTTCATATTGATCGGCTTGTTTCTATACTGTACTTTTTAGATTCTCAGTAGCCATCACGTTTGTGATAATTAATCGAGTGGATTTATTGGAAATAATTAATAAATTGATTGAAATTTTACCCAACTTGGTTTAGGATGTATTGAGTACTACAACGATCGGTACTTTCTGACCTTAACGTCTGTTTTATTTAATACGGGGTGAGTGTACCGAATGCGTTGTTGGAATTCTGCATACTCTTGACGAATTAATTAACACCAAACTTCTATTATTTATTCACGTATTTTACCACAAACGTTTCTTATAGAGTTAAATTCTAAAGTTTGTATAAACTTTCGAACTATTGTTATCTGTGAAATTAAAACCATTGCAATAAATAAGCCCAGTAGGTGAACGCAGTATGCATTAGTGTGAATTTTTAAGTAATAATGAGCTTAATGAGGTGATAGAAATATTTGTGGAAAATATAATGGAATTTTTGGTGTTAATAGATTCGTTTTCGGGCAAAACCAGTGCTATTTACGAACAGAAAAATCGAATGACTAGTGGACTACCCTGTAAAATAATGCGAATGATAAAGGAAACGATAGTTCATGTGAAAATATTACGAACCGAGGTGAAGTCAAAGAAGACACCCGGGTATTTTACCAACAATTGTACATGTATACTACAATCCACACAAAATTCTATGTATTACATATTGGACTAGAATAGTTGATAATTAATTTTATGGAGAAACGGTTAAAAATCGTCTGTGTCAGTGGTAAAGAACGATATACACTAGCAAATAATAGCGCTATAACGGTAGGAGATTTTCGTCATAAGAAAATAGAATAAGGCAGATTTTGGTTATACACACTCATATCATTTTTGCTTCGAAATTTAATTTTAAGGCGCAGAGGTGCTTAAAATAAGCTTGTACTTTTTTCGTGATATTTTTTTCAAGTATCATTTTTGAACCGGTGACCTAAATGTTTTCCCGAACAGTGTTAAATCTGTAAAGTATAAGTACCTCCTGTAACTAAATGATAAATGTGGTCAACCTCCACACGCATACCGCAGCTTTATATTCCAACAAAAGCCATTGTATTCGTACAATTTAGGTATATGGAAAAACATGCATCCGTGTATTAAATTAACATCAATTGTAATTTCGAATAGCCGAAACTATGTTGTGGTAAGTAAAAATAAAATTATATTAATCTCCTGCTGGCGGATATTTTGCTGGAATATATACGGAAGCTTTTCAGCATGCTATAGAAGCCGCTTATTGCCAAAGATGTCGCCAAATGTGTGTGCATTGAAACCAAACAATGCAAAACGAAAAAATCGTAAAGGTACTTCAAATTTTAGAGACCTTCGTCGATGAACTAACAAACCAGTAAATACGAGTATTTGGCTACCGCATTTGGTTGATGATAACGCCTGTGGTGTGTATTAAAAAAGTGTGTGAGTACTTGAATTTGTTCAGGAAATTCAGAACTATTTATTAGCATTGCAGTGATGAACATGATTACTGATATGTTAGTTTTTGAATAAACCTCAAAGTTTCTTTCTAGTAGGTCCTATACTTGCAATCTAATTGGTAACGATTGGATTACATCGTATTTGAAACGGATCAATTGATCGGAATGGGTGATTATGAACGAAAAATTGGATAATCACTACACCTTTGGACGTTTCGGTGCGGATAGTTTGAAGTACCTCGATTAAACGAACACGTAAAAACTGCCAAAAAGTTGCAAAAATATTACTTAGGACGAATCGCTGAATTGACATTTTCCCTTTCCAGTAATTTTCGCGAGATTTCTATTTGCTTATAATAGGAATTTTGCCATTGCAACAATTTAGACATAATTTATTTTTCCAAAACGATAAAATATCTCAATCCCTCAACACTAATCTAAAAGTTTGATTCTAGTCTCACTAATAAGGAACGATCCCGCCGAAAATCCACTGGAAATGAAAACGTCCCGTTCAGCAATCAAAAACCAATAACTCATAGGTTAAAATACGCAGGGGGTTTTGGGGAATCCTACCTACAGAAGGGAATCTACACTACGACCCGACAGCAAATCGGGTTTTGGATCGACCTCAAAAATTACTTTTACAGTCTCATCCAGAAAGCAATGTAATTCCTCCGGGACCTTTTCCAGGTCTTTTCTGAATTCATCTGTTGGATTTGTCTTCAACAATTCGAACAATAGCCTACTTCCGCTTTTCGGCTACAGCGAATTGAGGCGAGAGACTTATCGGCACGTGCGCTACTATTTTAAAATACGCTTCGAAACTCCGGCATTCCCTCAAATAGACAGAAATATTAACGATAAAAGGCGCTGTTCGACGAATTATTACTATTATGAAAATATCGACTTAACTGTAATTCACTTTTACTGTAATTTTATTGCGTACAATTATGGGAAATTTACGGATGTGTAGAGTCAGAATGAAACCCTCTTAATTCTTCTGGTAATGAAAAATTGTAGCGTATTTCCATAATAATGAAAAATTCCCCAAAAATCGCACCTTTCATTCTGCTGTTGGAAATGCGGAATCGATCGTAGACGCACGGACAAAGTTTCTCGCATTGATGATATCGTCAAAATCGTCGGTTATATCTGTGAGAAGTTAAAGTTGGGTGAATTGTTAAAACCAACAGTAACTTTTTGAGGTCTTAGTTGTCAAGTTCACGGACTAACATAATTATAAACAAGAAGCACGATTCAGTCAAGTCAAATTCGTGTGAAAAAAACCAAGTCTATGAAAATTCTCTATTGTATTTTATTTTTAAAATAATCATGTATTTTATGTTCTATATATCGTGTGATGAGGTATTAAAAATTGCATTCAAACATCTAAGTTATTTTAAACTTTATTGTAGAATAAATTCATATTTTTCAAATTCACTCATTTATAAAGTTTAAGACACTAATATTGTTTGCTGAATTAAAATCACCAGAATTAACACCAAATCAAATTCCTGCATAATAACTTATAGAACTCAAGCAAATCGTTATATTTTTCAAATAAATTTAACCTGACTGATCATTTCTAACGAGACACCAAGTTATCATCCAAACAATAATCCGATCTTACATACAAAACGCCTGCTTCTTACTTATCAATACGCCAGTCCATAGCCAAGTGAAAATCTGCAGGATTTTATTCTAAACAACATTTAAAAATAAAGCACTTGGGTATTCTCTTCATGATCCCATTGTTACACGCTGCCAGTTCGCAAACTTTTGTACTTAGAATTTTTAACCTGGTTCGCTATTTCTTATCTTATTTCAGAAATTAACACCGAATATATGTGCACATACTACCCGTTTTACATCTATTGAATGGAGATAAGCTTATTTACATTTATGTATATTATAGAGTTGTCGTCGATTAACTGAAGAATCGCATACAATTCAGACATTGTTTTCTATAGACTTTTGTATAGCTTAAGAAGAAGATAATGAAGAACTAAACGATAACTTCATTTTATTTTACATCTGCTGAAGTTGTGGTTAGATAATGTATTATACAGTAAATTATATCTCGTTAATTAATTAATTTCTTCAGTATATCGACATAATAAAAATTTAATTACAGTTTTGATTTGAAGAACCAGGTGTTTTAGAGTTTGGGAACTGCCCGCATTATTGGGGTACTTTACAATCGACAACGTTAAATACTTTTTTTTTAATTCTAATAAATAACTATCTTATATTAATTTTTTAAAAAACGTCATTAATTAATGTAATGTACCTGTTTTAGGTCCCGAGTTCAACGCAAATACAACCAAAGACTTTTCTAATAATACCCAAACGATCAATTTTGAAACGAAACTAAATTCATTAAATCCAACAAAATTCGAAATTAATCGTAATTGAATGGCAGTCTTTCGAATTTCGGCAGTTTCGAATATATAACTTTAGGAACAGCAAAATCACAATTCCTTAGTCTAGTTGTAGACTAAGATAATTTTTCTCGGGACCATATTGTTTGATTTCTTTTAATGATGTGACTGTAACTATTGTGGGATGAGAAGGAATACGTCTAAATTTTTATATACAAATTTCATTTTGCGATTTTTACTTCGGCCCTAAATTATTTTTACCTCCACTGTAAACCTGAGAACTGCCAATGGAGCTAAATCGAACGAAAAATCAAAGCGAAAATAAAAAAAAACGAGCGAAAAATAATCCAAACTAAAATATATTTCACATTAATACATGACTAGTTGCCTCACACAGTGTTAAAGAGATCGTGTATTATTACACTAGTGATTTGTGCGCGTGTAACTTAAGATTAAATCATAAAAATTATCAGGTAAATATGCTGCTAAATAAAAATAAAAACGAGCAACTAGTCTAAATAAAACAGTAAAAAAATCATACAAATAAACAAAATTTCGAAGTGAAAATGGAGACGAACTAAAGATATTTGAGCCTTCAGAAACTAATCGATGCGAAGGTAATGTTGGCGATTATTAAGTTCAAACGAAAAAGTTTTATTTTAAAACGTTTCATTTAAACTAAATAATTTTTAGTCCAAAATATTATTGAGATAAACTTCTTTAATCGAGCTTCATAATGTTAAAGTGTTTATACGAGTCAGTCGGTTTTGCATTTCTTCATATGCAGTAGTCTCCTGAAGGCTCAAGTGCTATAAATTAGGCATATCTACCCAATAAAATGAATAATTTTATACCGCCCTGTATTTTATACAGGAAGAAATAAAATTGTACTAAAATAATATTTAATCAATCGACGCTGTGCACCGAGAATTAAATATATATGTGTGAGAAAAATTGTACAAAAGTCCCGGTGCACAATGTCGAATAAAATAAAAGATAAAATCTAGAAACGACTAGCAAAAATATAACTTTGGTTAGGAATGTAATTAATAATTAATAATTATAAATAAAAATAAGCGATAAATACTATATACATTTTTGTTTCTATGTACAAAACAGATTTACAGTTTACAGTGGTCGGAAATAAGTTCGTGCCCAAAGGAAATTTCAACGAAAGTATTGATGCAGATTTTAAACTTTGCTAACTGCTGGTTTGTAGAAACTTAAGACTTGACTTTAATAATATTTATCCGGTAAATATTCAGGTAAATCACTGTAGAATTGATTGATTTGTATTCATCGTTCGCAATTAACGAACCCATATATAATTATTAAGTCTTCGCTGCCAACTTAACACAACTATATCAACAAATGTTCGGATGCGTTCAAAGATGGCAAGGTTCTCTCGAACTTCGACGTCTTCAAAAACCAATAAAAACAACGAAAACTGTTGACAGTTTGTGAGATACGTCACCGATTCCCTTTGGTGTTGAGGACCGCTAACAGGCGGCACCTTTCGGCGCCCCCTTCGATCGCATATCACTAACCCGTCACTCGAGTTGTTCGAGGAAATTGGGAGATTTAAAATACTCCGGAACCGGATCGTCTAGCCTCGAAATTATTTTGTATATGGATTTCTTCCAGGATTGTTCGGCGTCTCGACCCTCCTGGATCGCCTTGAAGAACTCCCGGAGGGTTTGCTCCACGACGAACCTGAAGTTTGTAGGAACCTGGAACACAATTTTCATAAAATTACCGCTCACCATTCACGCGACTAAACTACTGATACACCCTAATTTTATGTATGCAATGAAATGTTGTCGAAAGCAAATAAAAAATAAAAATTAAGTACGTGAACTTCCCGAGATCATCTACATAGCGAGTAACATAGCACACTCACATACACCCTCAAAAACGATCAATAAATAAAAATAAAAAGCGTGTTTTCTGCGATGATGTCTCGGTATAAATTCACGAACCTGTGGGCCGCATACCTCGATGTGATTATTTCTATTGTAGTGCAAATTGAGCACCCTGTAGAGTTCCGAATCGCCGCTAACGTGCAGATCGTCAGCGTTCTTAACTCCTTCGGAGACGGCCTGCCTCGCGTACTTCTCCATTTGAATGTAGTAAAACTCCCTGGAAAATGAAAAATTTCCTTTTAAATATCAGTAAATTATCTACCGGTATCCCTAATTTCTATTACAGGCGTCTAGTGTAAATAGCTTGGACAAAAACGATTGCGGAATATAGGGATGAACAGATGTTCGTGTACGAAAAACCGTTACGAACTTTACCTGACGAAATTGACTTGCTTTCACTCTTATGGGGTTTATTCACCCCTCTATTTCGACAATAGAAGCGCATTCGAGCATTTTTTGCTCGATTTTTTACAACAAATAATCATTCGGGCACTTTTTTTCGTCGAATATAACCAACGAGTACTCGTGGAATGCGAAACGATCGGACGGATCGTCACAAATCCGGAAATCTTCATCCATCAAGTGGTCGTTATCCGGCGATAATAGATCGAATGTTTACGTTGAATCGGTATTAATATTACCTAAACACGGTAGTGTCATGTCATTGAATTCAAACGCCAATTATAGGCCAATTGGGCATACATAATTAATATGGCTGTATTAGTGGTGGTAAAATATTAACGTTAACAACTGTTGCTTCTCGATTAAAATGCCGCGTTAGTTTCCCAAGAACGGTTGCGCCCTTAACGCACGCGGAATTTTCGCACGGAGAATAAATGTAAAATGGAATTAGTCGGGGATTTCTTGCTCCTTAGCATTCAACCAGCAGCGGTGTTTTTTATCAGCCTACAGGTGCTGTATTTTTACGTGATCTTAAAACGCTAATGCGGGCTTGAACCTTTAAGAGGTCAAAGAAATGAACGATACATAGCTTTCCCGACGTCGGTATCTAAAATTCTTCGCAATTTATTACAATACAACGCGCCTAATCTCAAGAAAACTAGGACATATCCTGCATTATGCAGCGTTATAGTACATTTACGATTTGCGTTCGAACGTCTCGATAAAATCGAAGCGTTTGATTTGTTATTGGAAGCTCACAAGAAAGTAAAATTACCGAATTTCAACTTTAATTGCAAACGGTAATTAACTTCTACAATACCACTTCAATTGCAATAAAAAGTTTAAAACGGCTCAAAGTTGGGTCGGGGAAGTATTAGAAATCGAAATCGATCGCGAAACACCGTTTGTAGGCATCCAGATAAGACCCTTACGTCGCTAAATAATTTCCATATTCCTTTTTTTATCGTCGAAGTGGATATATTAAAAACCTGCCATTGGGTTTCTTATCTTATCGAGATACGCACATCTGTTTAAACAGCGTGAAAGTCGTGTTAGGTGTATAAGTAATTACTAGATGGGACTTATCTTTCCATTTTCGGAAAATTGTTTACCAATCATTAGCGTCATACTGGCAATACATAAGATTACGGAAAACCTCCCCATATGAGTTCTGTTATCTATCAGCTTTAACGCTTGGTAACAAGATATGAACTCCATACTCGATTGTAGATAACAATTTTCTTGATTACTACGACTTAATTAAATTCTGTGCTATACTGTCGTAAAAATAAATCGTTAGTCAAAAATACCCTCATGAATTGTATCTTAAAGATGCTTAAGAAATGGAGGTAAAGCGACAAAGCCCTATCGATATTTTGGTTGATGGCAGTTGAATAAATATAAATAAAAGATATAACCGTCGTTTCGTTCTTTCGAAGTTCGTTGGATAAGGCGCGTGCCTTATTCCGTTTCTCAAGACGCTATGGGAATTTCTTGAACATCGGGGTCCGGAAGGTAAAACCGAAAAGGGAGGGTAAATCAAAAGGCACAGCTGTTAAATCCTTTGTAGTCGTTTAACGTCTTTTGCTTCCAAGGAACCCTCTTGTGACTTACTTACCTGACGAATTCGGTTTCTTTATTTACCAGTGTCGTAGCCAATATCATTTTTAAAAGGATAACTTTTGTACTATATTGTATAATCAATTATTTAGATACAATATAAAGCTTTTTTTAATGAGAAAGAAAATGAAGTAGGAAGTATCGTACTAAAATATAATTAAAAAGTCTTAACGATGTTGACAATACAATCATATTATACTAAATGACTAATTACTAATTATATGTGTGTGGAGGCTAACAAGCTAAGTGAGATAACAACTGAGCCCAAAGTAATGAAAAACATCCCCTGGATGTAAAGAAAAAGGCCTACCCCACTAATTAGACTCAAGACCTTAATTGAATGATTTTTAATTACGTTTGAATTACGGCTGACGTCGAGGGATTTTTAAATCATTAAGGTTGCATGTAAAACTGTAAAATAAGCTCCTAATTACATTGTATGTACTTATTATTATGTTTTTCAATGTGCTTTTTAACACGTCTTAATTCGATAATAAAATATTTTTTACGATCGATGATACGTTCGCTTTTATTGCCCAATTGTTGTTTTAAGCATATGTTTTCGTATCAATATCTAACGCCGAGCTTCCCGAGGTTATAATTAACAATTTATGAACATTCACTAATCAATATTCACCAATTAAGGTAATTAATTATTGATACGCTCGTGCGGCAAGATTGTAGCTCTCGCGATTTCGCAGGCGGAACGGGCGTAGAGAGAAGGTGTACCTACCCCGTTAAATTACGTCCGGTCACTTAATTTTCCTCAAATGGACTTCGGTTAATTTTTAATTAAGATTACACACCTTGATTCGATTCGAAACGTCAAACTGATTTCGCCCTGCTCCCGAAATATCAGCCATAAAACGATCAAAAATACCGTCTTTGCAACGCGGAGGTGATTAAAAAAATTCTAATTCATTAAAAATTTCATTTCAACGGAAACCCACGAATAACAGGGTATTTCGCAGCAAAACTCCATTATACAAATTACGCTCGTTATTAATTGTTCCAAATTCTTCGCGAACAGCCGCAACAATGATGTTTTTTAAAAGTTAAGTGTTAAATCAGTTTCAGTCTTATAATTACCAGTGTACTTAGGGTAGCATCGCGAAACGCTACCCTTATCTAAATAATTAACGACAATGTATGTATTTCTATTATTCTCCGCAGCAACAATGCATTTACGAATTAAAATTCCAACTTTCTTTCTCAACGAGAAAAAGATCATCAAACCTCGAAGAGCTTGCTTGCGGAACAAAGGACGGAAAAATTCGTATTGTAAGTTCGTTTCGGAATAAAATTGTAACTTGAACTTAGTTAGACGCTAATTAGTCAATGCTGTGCTAATTAAAAAAAAGCGTAGAGTATTGAACGAGTTAGCATGAAGTTTTCATAAAGAATTTTATGTAGAAATTTCCAAGTTTCAGCTCGTTGTATTATTTTTGTTTGTGTTTTAAATTAACGCGCGTATATTAAAATAGTAGGTTTGCGTAACTCACCTGAAATTCGAGAACCACTTCACTAACTGGGCAGTGTTGTTTTTATTGAATTTGATGTCCGGGAAATACATTTTGAGTACGGCCGAGCTCGGATACCTCACCCAGAAGAACATCAGCTTCGCTTTCCTGAGGTGCATCGGTGTTAATGTTGACGAGTGCTCAGGAGTTAAGGAAATACCGTTCTATATTGTGTACAAAAATACTTTTCATGAAAAACCGAGTCCAAACGACACACGTTATTGAATCACTTCAATATCAATGAAATAATTCGATCGGATCCGCGGATATTTCAGTATGTTCAAATTTAAATTCGCTGCTATCGCATTTATTATAGAAGAAGGTAACCAAAGACGCGATTGAACGTAATCTTGACTCGCAATAATATAATTTAAACCGCTTGTAGGTCTTCCTATTCAATCTCTATCTTCTAGGGTTAAGTTTTCCGTAAGGTATCAATACGGAATCTGAATAATACCTTATTAGAATCCCTATACTAGTAATTCGTCCGCGATTCCAGAAAGAAAATTAACTTATCTATCGTTTAATATTACATACGTGGAAACTAACAAGGTAGACAATGTACAACTTTAAAACAAAGTTAGGATTCTATTATATCGTTCCCAACTTTTTAAATTATAGAGATTACGAATTCTCGATTCGAGGGAACCCGTCTTATGTGAAATAGAGTGAATTTTATCACATGTTTTGGAAGAAAAGAAGACTAAAACATTCTCAATTGCCGGTTAAACCTCATATATGCTACACAAGTTAGTTTCCAACGAATTAATAAATTGTAATCGTACGTTAATAGTTAATAAATATCGATGGATTTTTTTTTAAATAGAATTAAAGCAACGATACATTTATCTATGGGCAAAAAAATAACATACTGAAACATCGTAGATCCGAATTCGATAATAAATATACATACATGATGCGCACTAAGATTTTGACCAAAATCTTTGCATAAAAAGGATATAGTAGGCTGCATTCCGTCATAAGAAATGTCCCCTGAGTTGCAGTCTGAGTTTCTATCACCGTTGTCCATTTTCATGCCGTTGGAGGGCCCTCTCATGTGCCCATAGTCCGGGGATGCCCCGTGCTGGGCGGCTGCCAGTAAAGCGGGATGGAGGAGTGTGGGGGGATGATGTACGGGCGGTGATTCTCGCTCGATCTTGTGCATTCGGGGCGGAGAGGAGGAAGCCTATAATCAAACAAAAATCCCAATTAGAAAAATTTCTACAGTGCCGCAGAAATAGCTGGAGACGTGAGCGTATCTAGCTATTTATGCCGATCTGTGCATATCTAATTTTGGAAGTTGGAATCTTCTAAAGAGCAAAAATTACGAGGGCCAACCTAACAAGTATCTTCTAATTTTTCTTTAATTGCTCATTAAATTTAATTGTGTTCAAAGTTGATTAAATGTAAGATATAATTAGTAATTTGTATACCTGCATCGCCATGTGGTGCCCGTGACTTGGTCCATGAAAGAAGGGGCTGTAGGGCGAAAAAACCTGAGATTCGTGGAGGCCGGGATTGGGAATCGCCACCGAGGTCGGCAGGGAGACGGGCAACATCGGCGGCGGCTGGTGATATGGGGGCGGCCTGGGCGAGGGGCAGGTATTCGGCTCCATGGAGGAGGGCGGCATGCCCATGCCGTCCTGGCCCAGGATCCTGCTGACCGTTCTCGGCGTGATTCGCGTATCGGTGACTTTGTGACGTTTCTTCTTCGGCCCGACGACGAGACTGAGCGCTTCGTTTTGCTCGGGGGTTTCCTGCTTGGCGACGCAAAAGGGCGAATTCATGCCGTACAAAGGTGCGCTAATACCTGGAGGTTTTGGATGCTGAAACATCGGAGGTCGTATGTGAAGATCAGAGGGTTTTTGCATGTTATTATGAATATTATGAACGGGCATCATCGTCGGACAACCCACGTTTCCATTTACCATTTGATTTTGATGATTGGGCGGAGGCGGAGGAGCTTGCGGTCGTTCCGCCACCTTGGTCCTCGGTGATTTTCTATCTAATAACTGCGACGCCATCAATAGGTCTTTATTGAGTTGTTCGGCCGCCGTGGCTGCGTCTTGTTGCTTGCACCGTTTCTGGTGGACGAACCGGTGCAGTATCGAGTCGATGAGATTCGACAACGAGGCGGTTATTTCGCTCTTTAGAGCGTCGGCGAGGCCCTCCAAGTCCGTACCGCCGTTCGGATTCAGATTCTTAATGATGCTCAGTCGTTCCTGGATATGATGCTCGGATTTCGGGGTGCTCTGATGTTGGGATGATTGTATTTGCTGATGTGATTCATTGCTGGCCGCGTTGGCGGCCGCTGCTTCTTTGGCTAGTCTGGCTTCTTGTTCCATGAATAATTTATGGCTAACGCCTAGGTACATCGCGGCCGCGTTGCTCATGTGCTGATGAGGATTGTGTAAAAAACCGTTGTGAAACGGCGGACCCGGATGGCTGATTTTCAATTTGCTCACCTCTTGCGCTAACGTGGGTTGTTGTTGCACTGGTGTAGACGTATTCGTGGTTATCGGCAAAGGGGATACCGATCGTTTGCTGTGTTCACTATCACTGGGTATCTCTTCGATTTCTTGACTTTCTTCGGAACCTTGTTCGACTCGATTGCATAACGCCATGTATTTCTGTTGCATTTCCGCTAATTGTTCTTGCATCGATCTCAATTGGGATTTTAGAATGTTCTTTTCGACTCGTTTCTGTCTAATTGGTTCTATTTCTTCCTCGTCGTCGTCCATGTATCTTTCGGCGTTGCTGTCGTGCTGTTGTGGTTGATAAAGTTTTCGTTTTTTACAACCGTTCACTTGCGGCGGTGCCGGACTAGATCGCATACTTGTCACGATATTTTCCACTCTGGCTTTCTTCGCGTCCTCCGGTTTCGCCGGACTAGAAGGTTCCACTTTCGGCGACGGCAAGGATTCCGTTTCCATACCGTTCAGAGTTTCCTCCATCAAATCCTGTTGTTTCTCGTTCGAATCGCCTATGCACTCTTTCGAATCGACATCGTTCCTCTCCGGACTCGTCTTTGGTTCGTTGTTGTTGTTGTTCATGATGTGGTCTTGCCCATTGCGCATGTCTTGCTCAAGTGCCATCAGTTCGTGTTTCCTCCCTTGCAGAATATCCCGCAGCATGTGATGAGCGAGCTGCTCGCCGCTCGGAGGGCTGTTATCGCACCGTATCACGTTGTCGTATTTCGCGTCTTCGCCTTCGCCGGCGCTATCGAGCTTCTGCCGACCGAGAAGTTCGTTCAACATTTTCGCGGGCGCGAACCCCGGCCCGAACAGACCGAACTGTTGCTGTTGGGTGAAAATGGCGCCGTACAAATTATTACCGCCGCCGAGAAAAGCCGGTCGCGAACTGAAATTCGGAATCGACGAGTAGGAGTTACGCGGCTCGCCGGCGTCCACACGCTGTCTAGTTCTTTTGGATTTCTTCAGGAGCTTATCTGTATACAAACCGAACTCTGTCTCCTCCTCCGATGACATCATAAGTTGGAGCGTTATTGGTCGTGCAGGTCCCCCTCCAGATCAGCGTCCCCACTTTAAGAATAGTCGCCCATGTCGATACCTGAAAGCAGAGAGACCGTGAACGTGAGGGATGCGGATCGTGGCAGCGGACGCGGACGCGGACGGCGTCTGCTGAGACTGCGAACACCTGCGGTCTTTGCACAACTGTTGATCCCGCTAGTTTCGGTCGACTCGTCGACACAACTACACACATACTCCGATCGGAATCGGTCTCGCTAACACACCAGACCGTTTTTTTTTATCAGCGAAGGACGCATGAACATACATACATTCATACATACAAACATTATTATTATTACACATATGCACGTCCACGAATTCACCAACGTTCCTTCTATAATAAACGCTCTTTTTTTTCACGAAAAATATCAGCGTTTCGTATTTTTCGGATCGTTACTATGTCGATAATTGCATCAAACGTATCTACGTACAATTTTTTACTTTCGATCGATCAAAAATAGAAACTGGTGTATACGTTTAATTTTTCGAATCGTGCCCGTGTATATGTCAACAATTTTAATGAATAGATGTGCTTTGGCACTCATTAACAGGAACCTAGCCTAAATTAATCTCTATTGATATCAGCACTAAGTATTCATCATCACTTTATACAGAGAAACTAGTATTTTCCAATCATTATTCAACGCATACTACACTCACACACAATTCAACGATTTGCCAGTATATTTTTTTGGTTAGAATTACAGGAGAATTAATCTAATCTAACAGATGGTAAAGCGTTGTGAGAATTCGAGTAAAGTACGCAAAGTTTTGTGCCATATGGCACCGTCTGCATGTGAAGAAGCGAAATTACAAACAATATACTTGGACACGTTAGGGTGGATCTTTAGTTGATAGTCACCCTCAACGGAACAGCGCTAGGAAATTAATGATACCGCTAACGATAACTCTTTTTCTAGTCGGGAAGCGAATTACTTAAACGTTGCCCGTTTAACTGTATTAATAACGCTTTTAAATTTGTTTCGAATATTTTAAATAATTCAGTTATATTTAAAATTAAACCAGTTTATTTCGCCGGTAAGTGTTACAATAAATAAGCCCCAACGAAACCCACAAGAGCGGTGCACGTTTTAACAAGTAGACCTTGCCAATTCTTAGCGCATTGTGATTCTAGTTTTCTTTGAATTCATCCACCTTTAGAGCCTTGTACATATAAACTGTTTACGTTTTGTGTGCCGCAGGTATAGCCCAATGAAGGCAAGGTGCAACGTAAACTGGTAAGAAAAAATTTAGGGTCACAAGAAGTTATTTCAAGATTCACGTTGGGCCCGGTCTCGTGAGAACGTTCTTATTCGATTTTTGGGAAAATACGTTACAACGAATAAAAAATGGGAATTAGGTAGAGGTATACGTTTATAGAAAAAGTATTTCTTTACCTACTTTATATTAGAATAAATTAGAATATTCGTATATTTTAACCTAGTTATAAATTTCGAGGAAAGATAATTACATTGTACATCTGCGACCATGCATTTCGTTAGGCGGAATACACGGGGATATTCACCCTCATATCGCACCACCTGATATGCGTTTTTGTCTTATTCATTAAGAGTATATCACCGCGGCGCAACGGTGGGAACAATTTCTGGTGTTCACCTCGCATGACGGACAGGAAATATTCATACACTCGCGATATTCGCAGGAAGTCCATCTTTCCAACAGGCCATATGCCACCTACCCCTAATACGAGCCTTCGCTCTCGTCTAATCGAATTAAAAGATCTAACACACCTGTAACGGACGGAGCGGGAATTTGTTAGGTTAACAGCAACATATTAAAACGCGAATTTCATATTAATCGTTTTTTGAGCAATTATCGTAATTGATTTCAGCGTATCCGAGGTCTCGAATGTAAATTAGAACCGGAAAACCGAAAGGAAATAAGGAAACGTGTCGACTCCTACGTACATCATTCGTAATAACAATTTCCTCGGAGCTTTGTCTGCCAATTACATCGATTTATTTTAATCTAACGTTCACTTTATCAACATGCGTTAACCCGACAACGCGCCGTTGGTTTCGTATCACGAATCTTGGGCGAATTATCGACGGAATGCGAGCTGACAACTTGTAGAAAAGCGCATTATCTTAAAGTACCAGATACCCGGATGTATCGGGGCCGGGAAGGAAGTGAGATCTTGAATGAATGCGATATGACAACTTTTATCTTGAGATACTTATTCGATTCCGCGCTGATTCACCCGGTATTAACATTTTACTAAGGGGGTGTGAATAATAATCGTATTAAATAGTTTATTAGTTATTATAAAGGGTCTGGCCTAATTTATTCCAAGACGAATATCTCACGAGTAATGAAATAATCGTAAAAATAATTATTTAATATCCTGGCCTCCGTATGAGAAAGGAATGGAATCAAAGTAAACCCTTGCTGAGAGAAATCAGTGTAAAGGAAATGCATAATGAGGAAGCTAGGGAATGAAATAAGGCGATAATCACTACGTTAGCACGGCAAGGACGGGATACAAAGTGACGAAGTAAAATCATTATCTACGAGGAGTTCGATTTTTTTCAAGAAAATCGTATTCTAATAACTTATTTTAATTCTTATAAAAATCAATAAACTCATGCAAAATTAATATTTTTTTATCGACGCAAATTTCAGAGAAGAATAATATGAACAACAATTATGCGTTTATGAATTTTTAAGGCGAATTAATCGGTGAAAAAAATCTGAATAACATAGTCTACGGGAGGTAAGTACATTTCCGTTTAAATTTAATATTTAATATAAAGCAAAGTGGAAAATTGTATTTTTAGGTCATACAGTATAGGAAACAAACTCAGATTGTACTTTGTAATCACAAGAATTACGGTTAATAAAACATCACAGCGATTACATTGAAATGATGCCCTTTGAATAATGATCAGACGATTTTTTTTTCGTTTCTTAGTTTTAATTCGATTTAAACCTACCTGCTCGACGTAATAATCAGGTGCATATATGGTAATCCGGGAAAAAATACGCCGTTTTTCATTATAAGAAATTAATAGCGACTACGGGACATTCTGTTAGATTACACGTTTTAAAGACAATTACATAGAGCGGTAAGAGAACCCAATAAAAGTTACGGGTTCAAGTGAAAAGTATACGGGGAAATGACAATTTGTGCGGCTTTAGTGATTCGCTTTTTTTTTTCGTTACTTTTATTAAGGAGAGACCAAAACCTGCAATTTTCAGCACGAGAGTTTTCAATTTAAAGTTTTAAGTCATTCGTCATCGCCGTATAATGAGTGCATTTGTGTTGTAAAACCTGGAATGATGTTTCAATTGAATAAGGGAAAAAGAATTCAAAATAATAGAAGTGTTTACAACCTATTAGGTAAAGAAAAGTCGATTAAATTTGAGGATTATTTGGGTCAAAAGTATAACCTTTGGCTTCTTATTTCTAATCTGCCAAAGAAAGGGTGTAAAAGCTCAACCATACAGTCCGGTTTTCCGTGCGATCTTAACTTGCAATGATAAAAGTAGCTAAAAATAACCACCCTACATCCTTAATCAATCTGAATTTTCCAAGTAAACAGATGCCCATAAAGCGTGAATAATATTTTTATAACCCTTTGTTGTAGATCTAAAGAAGCGATTCGATATATGTACCAGCATTATGAAGGCATATAATATGATGGAAACCTTTTCCCGAAAAGTGTCAATAAATTAGACATGGCGTAATAAAACAGCGCTTTCTTTTATACCATGAATTAACTATAAAAATTCTTATCACGTGAGTAAACGTAAATCCGAAATTGCGACAAGCCATAACCGGTGAAAATATAATAAACATGAAAATGTTTAGGACATTTCTTTTTAAAAGTCATTCTCTTCCCTTGTATCAGATTATAAAACTCCTAATAAAAAGACACCTCGATACAATAAAAAATATCGTTTTCCGGATATACCACCTACTTGGCTATTGTTCTTTACGGGTGGTCGTATAAAATGTTTTAAATTGACAGGGGATCGCTTTGCGTAAGAAACCAAGATCTACCATAAGTTTGCAACATTTACTGCTTCTCGTATACACTATTTATTACATACACATCAAGCTCACAATGCTTCAATCTTTCCGCGATACGGCCGGAAATAAAAAATTCGTGCATAAGGAGGAGGTCTTGAAAAAACATGTTTTCACAATCCCTATAGTGTGATGCGTATCGATTCGACTGCAAGAAAGTAACGACATGTTCATATATTAATAAGCATGTCTGTGAGGCAGGGAGAGTACGTACTTGAGCAGTCTGGTCTTTTGTTTTTAACCCTCTAAGATGTGATGCATTCAACGGGGGCGAAGCGAGGCAAATACGGAAACTTACGAACACCCCAGTAACTTTTTTCTCCCGTTCATAAGAATACGACGTACACACACACCTATTCTTTCCACCCGTCCGCATTTGCCTTAATTAATAGCGCCTACACTGAAAGAAAGAATTTATCCAGTAGAAAATCTTGCAGTATAATACCTAAATATTGCGTAGTAAATAACGATTTTCCGACTGTTCTCGCCTACAAACGAATTCCCGTTGTAGTTTCAATATTCATTAAAAACTAGGAAGATATAAAAAAGTTATGAGTTTTTAATGACGCACCGCGGGATTCTTCGTATTTGAGAAAGTCGGCTGCATTTATAAGATGTTCTGTTTAAAATGCACGGCATATTATGAATAAATTTCTGGTAAGAATGCCGCGTTTCCCTTAGAACTCGGCTCGGTGAAAAGAATCTCCAAGTGCAATGCATCTTTGCATCGCATAGTTAAGACTGGAAGGGTTGTGAGTGGTCATGGGGGAGGCGGAGCGGGGTGGCGAGATTTGGAGTGGAAAATGTGATTTCTTCATCTGCCGCTTCGGCGCAGGAAAAAATTAAACTATCGCCCTGTCGATTACTCGGCGCGTTCGAACGGGCGAAGAGCCGGCGAGAACGAGCCGGTCCGGCGCGAACGCGGCGATGTATTTAGTGTCTTGTGGAGCTTTTAATCATATCTCCTCGAATAATTCATTGAATGCGGG